AGGGTGGTGGTTGAATATTGAATGTTGAACGTTTGAAGTCAAAAACAATGGCAGTTTTGCACATATACTGTGGTTTACCTTAGCTAGTCTCACTATATTCAGCGACACCCTCCCAAAAAAGACAGATCTCATTATTGAATCTATTCTTGCAAACTGGAATTTTACTTGATTTATTTATGCAATTTTCGAGTGGACTATACGTACACCTCTAGGTTGGTTACAGGATAAGAGACCGGGGGTCTGCCAAGTACGTCTACATCTACGTAAGTACATAACTGTAGATACTAGATGTCCCACTAGTATAGCCAACATCTTCTGAGAAACAGGAAATAGTAAATAATAAGACTTAGTCGCATCGTAGCGTTTGTTATTACATTTTTATGTTCTTCAGCCAACTCGTGCCCTCTTTGCAGCTCCGCCATCTGCCTCTTCCTCCTCCTCTTCGTCTGCTTCACTGATTTCATCCGCATAACGCTTCAAGCCGCCAGCAGAAGTAGGAGGCTCGTCTTCATCTTCCTCGAAATACTCGTCGTCGTCCTCGGCGTCCTCGTCATCATCGGCAGCAGCAGCAGCTGAGACTGACGTGCCATTCTGGAAGAATTGCATGATTTTTCCATGGAGAAAGAAAATAATGTACACGTACCTCACCAACCAGTAGCGCCGTCAAACTTGGTTTACTCTGTACCAATGACTCAACTTTCTGCAAGAGGCGATAGACCAGGATTAAACATACCCTTGATGCGGCACCTTCTTCTTCTTCTCCATCCTCCTCCTCATCGTCTTCTTCAGCTCCACTGGGTGGGGCAAGTCACCTTGGTTTTCTTCTTCGCCCTGTTATCATGGAACGTTGACGGAGCAATCGAAAAGAGGTAAACACAATTGTTGTACGAGGACAAGAGCGAGTTCAAATGCACAAAATATAAGCACGAGTTTAGAAATATCAGGAAGTAGTTTACAAACCTCAACCTCATATTCGTCGCTCTCCTCGCCTTCGTCAACTTCCTCTGGCTCTTCTCCAGGGACCGTAGGCTCCAGCATGGGGTCAGGGGACATTTTCGGAGCTGCAAAAGTATGTGACGCAGAGCCTTAAGGGATTCGGTGTTGGTTGAATTTCAACCAGCTGTGAAGGGGAAGCGAGAAAAGGATTAGCGCCATGGTGACATTAGTAGCGAAATGATGGTTCTCACCTCAGGGTAGGTAGCTGACGAACGTTTGGTCCTGTGCTCAACACGTCGCACGCTTAGAAAAGGTCGCCGTCCCAGGGGGATTGCTGTCTTTGGATGAGGCGGGAGGTCGCTGCATGGGGGGGTCGTTCACACCATGCTATATTTATTATTGACCCTTTATTTCTCAATCTTCACCTACTATGGGTAGGGTAAGTTAACATGCCACAATTGCATCGTTTGTTCTAGTCTCCCAACGGTACATCAAATCTACATGCAATTTCTTGTATTATTCATGCTGATACCTTGAAGATCTAGGACATTGAGTGACGATTTCTCTTGGTTCATTGTGTAACCTACTTTCGAATAACGAGGAAGAGCTCGAGGACACTACCTCAAGGTCACCGATCGCTAGCTTGGAATTTGATCCTCATCTGGTCACTTGTGTCACCGACTTTCAGATCAGCCGCTAATGCTGATCTTGTCAGCCCCCGCCAAATTCGGTGTATGATCAATCTTCAATCTCATTATCTGGCAGTTGATATGAAATTGAATTTCTGATTCGGCAGAGGCAGCAAAAATATGGAAGCTGATACAAAACAACTGGGAAGTTTTTCAGCTTTGACCTGCAAACTTTCCCGTGCATGAACGCGATCCTGGCGCTTCATCTATATGTTACCCAACCACCGGACGACGAAGGAGGCGCGCAGATCATGCTCTATGAATGCCAAGATCAATCTACCTACCTCTGACGTCAGACGCTTCGTCAGCAATCCGAGACCTGTTAGGAGTATATTCTATCATACAGGGGCTTGAATGGGCTCTGATTTAAGACAACTGTCTTCCTCAAGACTATTTATCCCTTCAACGTTCAACACTCACTCAACATGATTCTCAAGCTTGTCCGATGGTGCATCTTGAGTGCGTCGTAACTTATTCTCCCGCATCGCGGACTAGCTCATCTTCGCAGCGTTCGCTTTCATTTTTGCGGTCGTGGTGCTCGGCATAAGTGGCCACCTCATCGCCATCCGAACTACAGACTACTGGCGGTTTGCTGCGCTTGCAATCGCGGTCTCTTCCCTAACGATTCTTACGTTCCCTGTCATGTGCGTTTTCTTCCTAATCGGCCGAGCCAGCACTGATTCATGGGTCGCATCGCTCAGTCTTGTAGTCAATACCTTGCTAGTGCGTGACCAAAACATCTCACAAGAACGGATCATAGGCGAGGCTGGTTGGTTAAGTATGTACCTCCTAATTCTCAGATATCTTGATGAGTACTTACGGCTTTATTTATTTCTCAAGCTATCATGTGGATTCTGTGGCTCGCAACTGCAGCCAACGCCACTCATGCGGCTCGCGTACACTTCTTCGCTGGTGCTTGTAGTTTCTGTAAGTGCCATATTTTCTGAACAGGGGCGTTGTCTGATCATCTTACCTTCGCCTGTACTTCTCAGTCTCTAGCTTTTCCAATAAGATTTGCAACGAGTTTAGGGTTGTGGAGGCTTTCTCTTATATCATCTTCATTATCCGTGCGTCTTTTCCCCTTTCATTTTGTGTGTCTCAAGGGATATTTCAGTGCTCTCCTACACGATCGGGCTAATGGTGTTTGAGTTCACGCGCGATGACCTGGATGGTCACACCACATACAGGAGACGCTGAAGGCAGGGGGCAAACTACGCAGGTAACAAAAGCTCCTGCGACCTCAGGTCAGCAGCAGTGATTGCTGTATCAGCTCATGCAACCGATTCTGCGCGTGGTCAACAGCCGTCACAAGGTGAATCGCCGATCTTAGGTCCAAGCCTAATGTGTAGGAATTGGTTCGCAAAGTAGTTTCCACTTGCGTTCTGAAATTTAATACTGTCCAATTTTGTATGCGTAATCATGTTTAATTGCATTCGTCTATCGCGATATCGAGTCACCGCAGCTATCAAAGTCCACACTTGAGCATCGTTCCCGTTCTCTCGGGTTTCTCAGATTGCAGTGAGCAGATATCTTAGATTTTGAAGTTCTGGGATCCTCATGACACGAGATGCAGTACTATGCCGAAATCCTCAAGGGGAACCTTCTGCCTAACGGTTTTCAGTGGTGCCAACACCAATAAGGGCAGTACCAAACAATTGTCAAGATACGCGGGACATCTGCCAAGCCACCAACTTCAGATTCGTTGCAAGTGTTTCTTCTCAAGATTTCAAATTTGACCACCCGAAGTCCTCTCGTCTAGTCAGAAAAACCGGGAATCCCCAGTGCACTGGGATATCGGAGTTATCTGATTGAAACTTTTCACCTCCGAATGCTCATTGCGGTGACGCAATGCTAACGTTTTCCTACTTCTAGCACGCAGAACCGAGGGTCGCAGTACGCCGCTGATCTGAAGGATAGCCTCGTGCTTGCCACGCCTGTCGATCAACGTCAACACTTACTTGAAGGACATGCTAATCTAGCCGAGTCGTACGATTCTGAGGGAATGCCGCAACTGGGCACAGCTTGATCAGAAAGCAATCTTTGCCCATTCTGCTATGGCAGGACACTGCTTTCCGCCTCGCGTTGCATGTGTTACCAGGCTGACTTGTTGTCTGTAGAACGATATACGGGAAATTCAGACCTCTGCGACGGATTATGGTGACCCAACTTTCTCCATGGTCGAACTACTTGCGTTGCACGTTTCTGACGGATCGCTCCGTGATGGTTCGAAGTTCTTATTGAGCACGTTTGTGCTGTCCAGCTGTAGGCATTCTTGTCTTGTCTTATATTGATAGAACACCATGGAAGTATACGTGCATTGCATTCGGGTCTTTTTATACCACCTTTGTTTGAACCATAGAGCTTTATTAGGTGCGTGTCAAGTCTTTTCTATGCTAAGCAATGAGCGCTGATTGGACGAGTGGTTCCCCTTGCACACACAGGTGTTATAGCGTGACTGATTTCGTATCACTGCGTTATCAGCTACGATTGAGCTATTGGTTGCGTGGGTCGGTATCTGTGCTGCACAGTATCATACAGCTCAGATCGCATCCTAGTGCGTATTTTTTGTTAGGTCCGAGGAACTGAAATTACAGTGACGCTTTTAGCAGTCTATCGCCGACGGCATGGGCGGCAGTTCATCATTGTAATATTTTGACATGAGCATAATCTACGAGTCTAGAATTTGCCATGAATTAGATGCCTCGCGATGTTACCGAGGAGTTCAATTGTTCAACGATATGTCCTGCGTCACGCAGATGAAATCCTGCTCATGCGGGGTAAGTTATGAGCTAGCCCTATTTCATGCAAGTACTGATCACGTACACGTGAATGGCTTTTGATGGGTCTTGTGATCTGTGTAGCAAGAGCTGTGTGTTTCGCACAGGAACAACAGCACTGCGACAGAATATGCCCGATGTGAATATGATACTAATTTGTAATGTTACAGTTCGGTCTCATCCGTTGCACCTTGAGCTAGTGAGCTGGAAGGGGAACAGGATTGCTGGCTATTGCTAGGCGCTCGCAAACATCCGTGATTTTGCTATCTCTAAGGTGATCATGGTGTCCGGTATCTATTTCGCGAGGTTCTCAGCCAGTTCGAATGGGCCTGGAGACGAGTGTGGTTCACTTCTGTGGGCGGTCCCGTTCTGGCGTTGTACTTGCTCTGAGGCTTGATAGAAAGGCTCTAGGAAGCAATACAAAATAGAATAGAATAGATGGAAGAAACGGAGAAGGGGAGACAAAACGGAGGGATGTTTTTTGAGTTACGGCAGAGCTTCGAGCATTAATTGTGACCAAGCAAGGCCAGACAACCACTTGAACGAACCCATCAACCAAGCGAACTAAACTAACTCCAGCTAGCAAATCCATTTTTTCACTCACAGTCAATCATATTCATTGACTCAGTCTTTCCTTAATACTTTTAATCTTGCTTTTCTTATACTCTCACAAGTGCAGTTATTTGCGTTTCCAGTAACTTGGCCTAGGCAGCTTGTGGTTCAATATACCGTGTTGCTGCACAGCTCTTAGCAGCAGCCTCGAGGCAGAAATCTGAACTCAGTTTGTTCATATCTGGCAGTTTTTTCAACCGTAACCTTGATCAAGGTCCGCAGTATTAACTGCCAGTAATCTCTGTCAAGTCAGTACCAAAATCATTGATTGTCAGTACCTGGACGGCATCGTTCACCGTTTAAAACGCATCTTTTTTCATTTCCCCCGTGGTCTCCTCGTGGCCTTTCATCACGCCAACGCCGCGCGAACGATTACCATAATATCTCCCGCCCTAATTAATCGATTTCTCAATTGTCACAGAATCAAATCCCTTTGTCGTCTGCTCTTCTCTCTTGCACCTTCACTTCCACATACTCCCCGTTCACCGGAAGTCACATACCCAACCCACAACCTCCCTTTCCGATTCACCTAGGACTTTAGAGAGACGGCTTGCTTATCCCTTTTCTCGTAAACCTCGCCAATTTTTATTCCCGCGGAATGCCTGGTGTAAGCCGCCACCTTCCATCAGCGCGGTGCTTCAAAGAAAAACTTCAAATCTGTCCTTGGCTTCGGGTCTTTCAACCGAAGCCGTTCTTTCTTCCGTCGACTCTTACCTTCCCCGTCAACCCACAAGTAGAGTCAGCAATCGATACCACAAGAGTTTTCAATACAAGCGCAAATCCCGCCAAGAAACGTGCAAGTGCAACCGACGTCCTCCTCTGATTCACTCTCAAGTTCCCCCCACGCACATCAGGAGCATAGTCAGAACCATAAACACGACCCCAATAACTCCGTCCGCAGTATGAAGTCCATAGACGCCGCTCATACCCGTCCTGTTAGAAGACCACCGGTCAGGATTGATGCTCATGAAGGTCCCTGGAGCGTCAGCGTCGCTGAGACTCCACATGATGCACACTCGTATAGCATTTACATAAAGAGTGAGTCTCGCATTTTTCGCTCCACTCTTTCTCCACCATGTTGGTCAGACGAGTTGGTTCACTACCTACGCATTTGGGTTTTCGTTTGGCTTCCGAGGTAGCCGGGTTGCCATTCTGTGCAATTGACAGTGCCATGTGATTGCCGTCCAGGGTTTTATGTCCTGAGGCCCCGTTAATTCCCGCAACATGTCTTTGATAAACGAACCTGCTAATGATATTCCTTCTTCCGCAGCTTCCACGCACAACCTCACCCTGACCCGCACTGCCACAGAGGTCGTCGAGTTGCACGTCAAGCTTGCAGACTCCGTCCCAGGCACCAGGCTTCCCAAGTTGCCCATAGACTCGGCGTCCCAGCCCATCAAGCGGAATATCTTTCTCAACACGCTGTCCCGCCTTGCCTCACCAAGCAACAAAGTAGCGCGCACGGTATCTACACGTATCACCAGCGCCAGTTCAATCACTCCTATCGTTTCACCCACGCACGAGATTGGCGACCCCTTTACAGAAGCGGGCACCACAGGTTCAGGGGGCAACGTAGTCACGAGCCTTGCTGCATATCTCACCACTATCTCAAATGAACCGACGTTCCGACAGGCCCGCGCATGGAAGCGTTTTGTACGTGTGCGCACCGATGACCTCGAAAGCGTGCGTGTAGAGCGCGCAATCAAGCGTGTGCGTTCTGATCTGGCAGCGCATGGGAGCTCCAATGTTACCACAAATGTCAGCTCAGGCAGCGTCAGCGAAATCGAGGTAGATGGTGTCAATGGTACTGCGAGTGAAGTCAATCTGAACGATTTCGCTGTCGGTGACTTGAGAGAGGAGGGGATTAAAGAGGAAGAAGAGGATGCAGAGTCTACTCCTGTTGAGGTGGAGGGTCTAGCTCCTCTTGCGGATGAGGCTCCTCTTACAGAAGCGCCTGAGGACATCGTCGTTGTGGATGAAGCAGTTCCTGCACCCATAGAGGCAGAACTCACACCTCCTAACGCAACTGATGAGGAAGAGACAGTTATCTCTACGCCTGTTGCAGAGGTCCAAGCTTCCCGGATACTTCGCTCCCACTCTGCCGATCCCGATAAAGCCAGTCGTCTGTCGCGAGTATACACCTCCTCGACACTGCAGGATGGCACAAGTTCCCAGACGGGCGATGACTCTTCGATCAGCACCAACACTGGGCGGCGCAAGAAACGCACCAAGTCGGCTGACCCAAACAAGGAACCCAAGAAGCGCTCAAAGCGCAAAGTTGTCATTGATGACTTTGAGATGATGCGTGTCCTTGGAAAGGGGTGTGCAGGCAAGGTCTTACTTGTGAGACACAAGACGAGCTCGGATCTGTATGCCCTGAAGGCAATCACGAAGCGTCATGTGTTGGCGCATCAGGAGTTGCAGCACACGTTAACCGAACAAGCCGTACTCAAACGGATGGCAGCAGAGTCGAAAGACCCATTTGTTGTCAAGCTGTGGTGGAGTTTTCATGATAAGGAGAATCTATTTTTAGTCATGGTATGCTTCTTCATACAAGTGCACAATACGCACGTTAATGGCATTTTCTCCTAGGACTTCCACCCAGGCGGTGATCTTGCCACGCAGCTTGCACGTTGGGGTAGGCTAGGTCGGGACCGTGCCCGATTTTACGCCGCGGAGATAGTCGAGGGTGTCGAGGGCCTACATGCAGCCGGCGTCATCTACCGCGATCTCAAACCTGAAAACATCCTTATTGGTGCAGATGGGCACATCGTACTGACAGACTTTGGCCTCTCAAAAGAGTTCCCACGCCGTGTAGCCGCAACGACCGCGCCTCCTACCCCCACACGGGGCGAGTTCTATTCAGCTCCGGGCATCGAGCCTGCGACGCCGCCCTGGATGAAGGGCGAGAAGAGCCAGGACCTTGTAGTGGGATGGAATGGGCAGACTGTTGGCCCTATGGACACGACGACGACTTTTTGTGGCACAGCAGAGTATTTGGCTCCAGAGGTGATCCAAGGACTGCCATACAGTTACGAGGTTGACTGGTGGAGTTTTGGCACCATGCTCTATGAGATGTTGACGGGAATTGTAAGTGTCCTGGCTCTAAGCTCCGACGGTTGCTCAGATGCACAACAGACGCCATTCTGGGCGAATAACCACTCCGACATGTATGTCAGAGTCCTGCAGGACGAGCTGCAATTCCCTGAGGACAGAGCGATTGACCAAGATACTAAGAGTTTGATTAGAGGGGTGGGTGATACTTCTTGCCTATGATTGCAAGTCATTTATAGTCGCCCTCGCATAGCTCTTGCAACGAAATCCTGCACTTAGGATGTGCGAGCCGCGGATCAAGCGGCACCCGTACTTCTCCATGATGTGAGTTTATCACGAGGCCAACTTTCCTGATTCTGATTTCCTCCCCTTCAGTGACTGGTCGCACGTGTATTACAAGCGTTATATACGTGAGGCATATTCGCTGCTGCAATAGATAGATATGATGTGCTTACTTGGCGTTATCCCTCTAGCCCCCTATATCCCACCTATTGATCCATCCAATGCAAGTGATACCCAGAACTTCGACGACACATTCCTGGATATGGAACCAGTGATTGACGACCCGAACGATCAGGAACAGACTGATACAGACCGTGACCAAACGGACGCCGAGCCTACAGATGGGGAAGGCGAGGACTCAAACACGACGCCCTCACATTCCCGTAGCCCATCAGTGCATCCAATCGACGAGAGCGTCGATGTCTTTGACGGGTACTCGTTCAAGGGTCGGCATTCTGTTATCCTGGACGATGATGACGATGATGACGCATCTGGAGAATCTGAACGGGAAGAGACTGATGAGGAAGAGATACCAGAGATTCTTGCAAATGCTGCGGATACCCCCATACAACCGGAGGTCGAGGGGGTGTTACCTGTCGTTGATGAAGTGACTCCAGAACCGAAGACTCCTGAAGCGAGACCACAAGTTCTGCCAGTGGAGCAGCCGACCGAGATCATCGTTCAGCCGCAAGAGGACACTGCAACACTGATTGAGGAACCTGCAACGCTAGTTGAGCCTATCGCACCCTCAGAGCCGACATCTGCTCCTCTCAAAGAATCACCGTTGCCGACTACTCCCACGTCGCCACCTCAGGAGATTGTGCCTGTTCCACCAGCTAAGGATGTCAAGGCGAAGGTCACAAAGCCAGCCGCCTCTCGGCCGAGCACCCACCGCACAACGCGCAATCGCCGAGAGAAGTCTGGTGTCCCTGCGCTTGATCGCTTCCTTTCCGATGGCCCTGATGAGGAAGAAGGTACGGAGAAGGAAGAGGAGGAGGACTGGGACTTCATTGAAGCTGGAGATGGCGAGGATCGCAATGGCACCAAGGGCACAAGCTTGTTTGCTCGGGGTGTCGTCGACCGGTACCGGTTGGCCGTATTCCGCAAAGCATCAACCCCTTCGCAACGGATGGGTGGACGCTCATTTTCTGGCATGTCTAAAGAGTCTGACGTTCACGGTACCGACCCGGCAGAGTCACCTAGTCCATCAGAGAAGCACCGTGGACGTGCACCTGCGCTGAAGTTCCGAAAAACACCCAGGCAGTTCCTCCGTGCAAAGTCTCCGCCATCATCATTTTCCGCCAAGTCAGGTTCCACTGCAAAAACCCTCACTCCTTCCACATCCGCCACGCTATCATCGGCGTCAAGTGGTGGCCTTCTATCGCCTTCCGTTTCGGGCACGAGTTCAACAGCAATGTCCCCGTCGCTCAAATCGAAAGAATCGGCGACTTCAGTCGGCGAAAGTTTATCGTCGGATCAGTCAAACGGTGACACGATACCAGAAACCCTTCTTTCACCCGAATCGACGAGGGGAGTCCCGGCCGCTCACACCGAGGAGCCCGAGAAGCTTAAGAACAAAAAGCTCAAGAAGTACAAAGAAGGAGCAGAGAAAATGCTGTCACTCTTTGCTTCTCCTCGTCAATGATCATGATCCAGTCGACCGCAGGACCGGTCCCTCTTCTCCTCTGCTGCTTCCGCATTTTCGCCAAGTCAAAGTCAAACAATAATCTTGTATCCTTCATCTCAAGACTCATTATGCATCGCCTCACAATTACTTACTAGCACTTTCCTTTTTTCATCGTCCTTTTTATATCATTCATCGAGGATGAGTCGCGAACTAGAATCGCGACCGGTTTTTTGCTCCATTACATATGGACTGGGTGCTCGTTTTATGTTTCTTAATTGATTGCGTCCTGTCGTTACTTCCATTACTGTTTTGCTCAGAGTTTCAATCATATTGCATCCCAATAATCGGTCGGTTTGCTACAAGTTTCCTATTGACATTTTTTGGAAGCGTCATTTTCAATACCCTTGGACGCTTGTACACAATACCAACCTGAAGCGACAAATTACCCGTAATCAATCAACTTCTGCGAGAAGTGTCACGATACGCTTAGCCTGGGTCCTTGATCAGACATGCTGTCGATTAGCCGTAGCAATTTTATCGCCACCAGCAGGAATTCAAACGTTCACGGAGGCATATGAATTTTGATTTGCATAGCGTCTGGTGGTCAACAAACTGACACATAGACATGGTATCACCGCGGTGGCTTCTGTACATGCAGTTGCCGAACACAATGTCTTCATGTATCTAACGGCAGGAATACAAAGGTCGATCGAACCTTCCCATGAGAAGCGAGCTGGACCCCGGTCATCATTCATCATCCTATTGTTAAGTACGAAGAATATTTATCAGCAATTTATTGGGTAGTGAAATAACTTATTAGGTACCATGGGATTAATAGACTCTGTGTCGGAGTCTGCGACTGTTGACCCGGGGAGATACAAAGGCTAGAAACTTATAAGTTGGTGCTACTACAGAAGGTAGAAGAGACAACTCACCCGAGGTTCTGCTCTCAAATAGGCTACGACGCCCCCAGGAAGGCTGCTTGGGAGAGGAATCTCTAGCAGGAGGTCTGCTAATCTTGCCAATTGAGTCGGTCGTAAACTCCCCCTAACTTATATGGTATGAGAGCGGCCTTCGTGTCATCGGATGACCGTTGAAGCGTGAAACCAACTATGGACCGATCAGTAGCCCGAGAACAACTGCTGGTGATGAGATCAAAGTCGTCTAGAAGACTGCAGCAAACTAGCTTTACATGGTTTGGGAGAGAAATTAAGATACGCTTGTCGCGTTTACTAGAGGACAGCTGCACAACAGATATCATGATGGTCGTGGAGAGACGGGTAAGGCGAGGCGAGTAGGCAGCAGCGCTAGCGAGTACTTAGCGTCGGCTGCGCGACCTGAGCAAAAAAATTCATATTCCGACGGCTCATAGTATGCTGCAACCGAGGATGTGACTACAATGGACACCCCTACCGCGGCGCCTGCAGGATATCGACCGACTCATAGACCAACGACTGAAGGAGTATCCATCGATGAGGCTTCAGCGAGGCTGGCAGGTTACATCATTTTCGGATCCTGACTTGGGCCAGAGTCTTTACCTTGCATGCATTCTTCTGGCCCATTATCATTTTTCGTCTGACATGAAGGAGATTCCTTTGTCAGGAACGTTTGGCGCGCACGCGGCGCTACGATACTAATAAAAGAATCACCAAATACGGGATATATCACCTTGAAGATAGACGTCGACTCCGGAGCGGTTCCTTGAGGTCGCGCAGATGGTCAGGACACAGGAAGACGGGAGATCAGAGTATTTGAGAATGGACAGCAGCAAATTAGAAATGGGCCGGGATGCGAGAAACAGTTTCATAACTTTCGACGGAATTTCCCGAACGGCAGCTGTGTGACTATTACAATGTCCTTGCCCACCACCACTGATGTCGTGCTCGTCGACACCATCCAGCTCACGGCAAACATTGGCTCAGATTGCTGGGGACGCCTGCGTCAACAGCCCATCTCCATCACCGTCCACCTCCATCTCAAACCCTCCTTCCTTGACATATCCGGCCAATCCGACAACGTCGTAGACTCCATCCACTATGGGGATCTCACCAAAGCCATCTCGGCGCTCTCGGTATCTTATGCGGATGTTCGTGCACTCGTGCAAGAGGTCACTCAGAAAGCGTTCGCCCTTGCTGGAGAGAATGTGGACGCCGTGCGCGTCGTCATCGGCCTTCCGAAGCAGATTTTACTTGCAAACGACTTTGAGGTTGAGGTGATTACACCCAGAGGCAAAGACAGTTTGCAGCAGGCTGCAAGAGTGTTGGTCAAAGACCTTGTCATGCCCGTGCTGATTGGCGTCAATCCCCCAGAACGCCTTGCAAAGCAGAAGGTGATCACGAACATCATATTCTACGAGAAATCTGGTATGCACCAAGTAGACTACCCAGCAATCATCAAACAGATATCAGAGGCACGTACCCTCTTTCTCCCGTCGCTTACTGAAGAGCAACGATACTGAATATCCCCATGACAGGAAATCGAAAATACTGCATACCTCACGCTCGAGAAATTCGTTCTGCACATCGTCCGCAGCTCATGTCTCGCATCTGATGCTATTGAAGCCGTGACAACACGATCACAGAAGCCCAGTGCACTGTCTTTTGCTCACTCTTCTGGTGTTGAGATGACTCGGTACCGCGATGCGTTCCGATGATTGCGATAAAACCGTGTAGGAAATGTGTGTAACCACACTTAGATAGCATCACCCACATACTCATGCACGTCCGACTAACCCTTTGCACGACATCCGGTCTAGACATATATGTGGATGCATAGCGTGGCTTTACCTAGTGATGGACTGTATGTCAACTACGTCGATGTCGACCGCGTAGAGAGACAATCAACTTCACTGGCTCGACAGGCAGAAATACGCTCATATTCCCAGTTTCGACAGGGGCAAATCACACGCTGTAGGTTAGACATCGCGGGACTTGAGAATATTGCCCACAGCCGGTCTTCGTCTGATTGTATTAAGTTCTAGGATCAGTATTTGTGAACGACCGGACGTGACAAAATGAAAAAAAAAGGCATGTTGCTTGTTGTTTTCTGGTACTTAATACCACGATTCGGATGACAGGGCGAGTTTCACTCTGTCAATTCCGCTTGTGCTGCCTGCAGCATTCGAGCATTTATTTTTTATACCTGCAAGTACTTGTCCCCGGTGTTGGACTTCACACAAGTTCGATAGACGCGCAGATTCAGACAAACAATCGGTAATGCACCTAGCGTCTCAAATTGACTTGTATCCTTTTAAGCACCACCCATATTCCCCCTTGTAACTGGTTCTGCATAAAGGCCCAATCCCGCGCAGTAGTTTTCCTTCGTACAGTATGCCGTGAGTCATAAGGACCTCAGGCATCAGGCTAAGGCCTATAAGTCCCACGAGGAACCTGCAGACGTCGTATGATAATATGATAAAATTCGACGTGAGGAGAGGCTTACTGGTGGTTCATTCTCAAGGTCCCTGGGCCTATAAGTCCCACGAGGAACCTGCGGGCGTCGTATGTCAATACGACAAGATTTGACGCGAGGAGAGGCTTACTGGCGCTTCAGCGCTGACAAGGACCGTCAGGCCGAGAAGCATGACGAAAGCAGTAGAGAGGCGGATAAACATGATAATAAGTTGATTCCACTTGCAGAGCGGTTGTTGGCAACTCGATTGTTGGTGCTATCTGTTTTATACTCCACAGAAGAGGGTGTCAAGGCATTTTTTGGAGATACTGGCAGAATGATTGAGACGAAACCGTTCGAATGGTATCCGCTCAAAGGAGTTAACTGTAAACTGGACCGAGTCGATGGGATCGAATGCCGTTTAGCCAGCTGCAGGGCTGCAGAATTTGTGACAGAGCCAGATACATACTTAGTATTGCGGTCCGTGTACTTTTATTTTGATCAATCCCTAACTTCCAAGTTAGTGTGGAGGAGGGCTTTATGGCAAATGACTGTGTTCCTATCGTGTCCTGGCACTAACGATGATCCGTCGTTACTTTCCGGCCGGCCCGCTGACGTAGTGATAGGTGACCTTGTGCTAGTGCTGTTGGCAGAACTCTTCATTTTTGCCAACCGGTCTGGCAACACTGGTTGTGCCTGGTCCTCGGCAGAACTCGCGCGAAAGGAGGGTGGCAGAACCTGGCAGAACTCCAGGGTATCTAAGACTTGCGGAGATGTAATTTAAATCTCTGATAACAAAGTTGGAGTTCAAGAGAACATGAAAACCGACCTCCTTAAAGTAAGATGGTGAATGTTGGAGGGCGCCCCTCGTATCACCGATCAAGGACAACTTCGAGCGCCTGGAACAAGTTGACAATAACTCGAATCGCTACTACTGGAAATGAAAACATTGTGGCGACACTGATAACTCATCAGGTGCTCGAATTTAGGGTCATGACAACAACCTACCGAACCACACATTTGGAACACTCGGCAAAATTCGTGTAAACCTTCGACATCAGTGCTGTGAAAGCTGCGGAGGCCGGGAAGCCCACCTGCCGTCAACATGCTCACATGCACACTCGTGAAGAGGTTGGCATTGCTGTTGAGACTACACAGGATCTTGAAGCATCCTTCGCATGGGCACCTCCACTCTCGACCGAGCCTCGCGATGCAAATGACTTGCTTGCTGTTCCAGAGAGTATATTGCCTGACGATATCACTGCTGAGTTTGCAGCCCTCGAGGAGTTGAAAAGGACTGAAGGAGTTCAGAACATTAATGGAGTTGAAGTGCTCGAGGGAAACACTTTTGATTTTGACGAGTCGAACAAGGAATAATACCACAGGCTATTCTAGATGAGGTTGAGGTGGTTAATTACAATGGCGAGGATGAAAGATGGGACGAGGCAAAATTGATGTCATCGTTAGGAATGTCGTACACAAAGTCTGCATAGCTTAGCTAGGCGCCTAGAGTTTTGCTGGTTATGACCGGCAGAACTAAATCCAAGGAGTCCTGCCCCCCACACTTCCTTGTGCATATGCAATTTTCACTTTTTGATGTTCATTCTAGCCAATTGGCGCGAAATCAGAGGGAGGTTGTTACCACCGCCTGCTAGGCTTAGTGCACTGTGCACCTACTACATCAATATTGGCGGGTAGTGATCAGTACTTGACAACACTGACCCGTGAATACGGCATGAACGACTGATAGGTGAGTCACAGGTGAATCTCACCGGTTGTTGACTCTTGGGTTCACAGTATATGGAATGTTTCCTTGCCCTATTGTATTCCGACAACTAGCCAATGCAATATGCATGTCGTCGTGGGGTTTTTTTTATGTCAATATCAATGGGGCAAAATACCCTATGTCGGACACTAATCTGTCATGATAGGGTCCCTGCCCTGTCTACATCCCTGGACTCCGGATGCCCCATGTGAGGAAGAACCCCCATCGGTCCGCCTTTCCTAACGGCCGTTTTGGACGCGCAGTCCATTCGGAGATGAGTTGACTGCTCTCTTCGTGGCGTGTTATGTACGTAGTTTGATCGTGGGGTTTATGTTCTGAAGCGCGTAGTCGGCTGTCCCAAAGGACAGACATCGTGAAGGCTACACGCGTGCTCGCGTGGATTCTATGTACTCACAATGTACACGTTGATCAGTCAGGCATCTGCATTGCGTCTGCTGATATACATGCTTTTGACATTGATATGAAGCTTTAAGCGCTAGAAAAGCTAGAAAAGTGAACTCGTGATTTCCTGATGGAGAGAAATTAAGATACCCTTGTCGCATTTGCTAGAGGATGGCTGCATAACAGTTATCATGATGGTCGTGGAGAGACGGCGAGGCAAGTACAGGCTGTACAGCAGCGTCTGTGAGTACTGAGCAGCGTAGGCTGCGCGATCTGAGCAAAAAGTTTCATATTCCGACGGCTCATGGTATGCTGTAACCGAGGATGACTATGGACGCCCCCCACCGCAGCGCCCACACAACATTGAATACATATAAGGTCGCTGTTGGAAGGCCAGTACTAGTGCGCACAATACCAGTTATAAGAGAAACACGGGGACCAGCCTACGTTTAGTAGCATACTGTGCCTCATGATGTACTATTGTTGAATGCAAAAACTGTTCAAGAATTAATGAGGTCTAGACAGCGAATGAAGTTCGTTCCTGATCGTTCCTGTCTTGAGCTTTCCGTTGTAGGGTGTTCTAGAGTTTCGCGTTGACCTCTCTGTCCGGTACCTAGGAAGAGCCAACGACCAAAGGAGTGTCATTCAATGATGCTCCAGCGAGGTTGGCAGGTTTCGGATTCCTGACTCGGGGCCAGAGTCCTTAGCTTGCGTGCATTCTTCTGGCCTCCTGCCCTATTAACATTTTTTTGTTTGGTGGTGAATCCTGACAGTTTTAGTCAATCTATCGAGAATCTAGGTTGGCACGTATGCACCCCAGGTATATATCTCACGTTTCTGAGATGACCCTCGGGGGGCATGAAGGGGATTCCTTTTCATATACAAATTATCACATAAAAAGGAGGTCTCAGCTCAATGACGGAGCTTAGTCAGGATGGACCTCTGAGGAAACCATCCATGAGTTAATATTAATCTCAAGGTGTGTTCCGATAGAAAAAAACCGTCATTCGGCAGGTTTTGAACCTACACAGTCCAAGAGAAACAGATTTGAATTCTGTTATGGTAACCACTTGGCTGAGACCTGTTATAATGAACATCCAATGAAACCATCTATGAGTGAATGTCAGTGTGTCCCACCTTGTCGTCAGTGCGACAGATTTTGATTCTGTTGTAGTAACCACCTGGCTAAGACTAGTTACATAAGGTGTAACTCCAAGGAAACCATGAATGACTCAATCTTCAAGGTGCGTTCTGATCAAAAAGAATAGCCTTCAGTGGTCGGCAGGTTTCGAACCTGCACTGGTGCCATAGTGCAAGAGACAGATTTAGATTCTATTGTGGTGGTTGAACTACTTCAGCCAGGATGAAGTTGACATGAGCCTCTGAGGAAGCCATCTGGATCCATGAGCAAATCTTCAAGGCATGGTTAGAAAAAAACCTCTCGTTTAGCAGGTTTCGAACCTGTACAGTCCAAGAGAAACAGATGTCTAATCTGTTGCTGGTACCAGTTGGTTATGACACTTAAGATATGCTTTGAAGGATCTATCTGTGAGTGAATGTTTGAATGTTCAAGGCGTGGTAAAAGCAAAAAACATTGTTGACCAAGTTTCGAACCTGGTTACATAACAGATTTCCATTCTGCGACGCTTACCACTTGGCTAAGCAAGACTGGTCAAGATGAACGTCTACACATTACGTATTGACAGTAGAATTACGGGAGACTGACAGTCATTTGCCAATGCAAAACGAAGTAATGACTAGTTTGCGTTTAATTCGATAGACACAAAATATGCCAAAAATAAGCGAGTAGGGGACTGGCGCCGAGAATTTGGCCAGTGCTACGATAATAATAAGTGTAGTATGTGCGTAGGAGCGTAGATCTCCAATAAGTTAATTCAGGGTATCCAGACTCTCCCGTAAGAGCCTGACCCGCTCCTCAACAGCATTCAACGTCGAAGTGATAGCATCCACCTCCGACCTCCAATCACCGCCCACTTGACCCGAATGTACCGACCCGCCACCACCAACAGCCCCACCACCAGAACTCACCGACCCACCACCAACTCCAAAAACGCCAGAAGACCCAACACTACCTCTCACCCTCCCAACAGCCATCTCCTCCCAAAGCCCAGAAACAACATCCTGCACCCACTTCTCCCTCTCCTCAGTCCTCTTCGCCTCCTTCCTCCTCCCCGCCTCCTCCCTCTGCCCTACGAGCATCAATGTCCACAGATTACTGAACACAAGAATAACAATGACGAAATATAAGATCGTCATCGACGAGCTCTGTTCCCAAGCTTCTTTGACAAGTTCAAGCGCTCCGAACGTAGAGCGTGTCGCAACGCCGTAGGCACCGTCAAACGTCTCATACGCCCATTGGAGCCCACGCCTGTTACGTTCGTGTTCGCGCGCTTTACGGGCTGCTGCGTCTGACATGCCCGAGGAACCACCGAGGAGAGTGGGATTGGTGACTTCGATGACGGGGCTAAGGGGCTCGACGGGTGCTACGGCTGTTGGGTCTACGCCTGCTGGGATGAATTCGGATTGGTGTTCTTGGATGTACATCCGCATGGCTTTGTCGAGGTCAGAGTGGTATACTTTTTGACCGTCTATTGCTGATTTTTCGATCAGACCTTTGCGTATTGCGAGCGTGAGTACAAGATGTTGTGGGAAGAAAGAATAGCAAACCTTTAATGAAACTTCTCCCAGTCCAATCTACTTGTGTGCTAACGATCACCCGTGTGGAAATAGCGCTTGCCCACATTAAGCATGTCTTTGTCTTGACAGAGAACACGCCTCCGCTAGGCACATCAGGTGTTTTCGTCGTCGTTAACATCACAACATGGTCATCAAAGTCACAGGTCAAGGTTTCATCATGGATCTCGCACTTTGTTTGCTTCGGGCCGACACTATTGTTCAGGGGCTTGATATACGACATATTCCGCGCCAAAAGCTTCAAGTTGTCGCCTGTTGGAATCCAATCCGATATCTGCACATCTGAATGGGAAGCATCAGTACCAGTGATTCGGTAAAATCAGATGCCGCCCACCCATAAGCTTCTGATCCACCCGCATAAAATCCTTGATAAACCCACTCGCAAACATCAGATTATAAATCTTGTCCGGTGTCCCAGGTAATACAGTTTCTAGCGCGGTCTCATTAAGATGCTGTCCATTCCTCGAGCATGCGCAGTGCGTGACTTTGTTTTTGTTCAAGCGAGTCACAAGAGCTGCTTCTTTGCCTCCGGTCGTGACCAGGGGACCTGAAACATCAGAAGTACTAGCGGGCGAAATGATATTGCCAGACGAGCCGGTTTGGCTTAGAGTATCATCAGGACGGGAGAGTCGCCATATATTGGCAATCACATCATACGTCGTATCGCGGGAGAGGAACGAGGCAAAGGTGTATTTTGCCTGTCTGGTGGTTATTTGGATGGCATTGGGGATGACAAATGCCGTCATCTTCTTCTCGAGAGCGATTATTTCGTATATTGGGATTGACAACTGTGGAGGTATCATTTAGTTTGTGAGGATGTATAACCGCGTGCAACGTACGTCGGTGATCCACCCAAAAATGTTCGCGTGAAAACATATATGGTTCTCTGAGATGTATATCCGGCCTTGGATGAGGATCTCGCGCTGTAATGCGCACCCGTAATCTACAAGATATGAAGCAGATATTTGACATTTTCAAAATGGGACAAACCTTCGATGAGATAATCGCCTTCGGGAATAGTAGGGAACAACTCGTGGAAGTCTGCATTACGCTTGCTGCTTGCAACGGCGAAACCCGTGACGGGAATGTCTTCATTAATATCAAGTTCGTCGTCCGACCCCTCGCTCTCTTCGCTAGAAGCAAACGTGTCTGTCTGGCCGTCTGAAAAGTCGTCTCGACTGGACAAGGTATGTCTTGTGCGAGCGCTGGCATCGACAGGACTGGGCATAGACGTCACGGAAGCAGAAGCGGCATACCGCACCGCAGAACGAGAGTCATTTGATCTGACCGTTCCATTGGTAACTTTTTTTGATGCCGAATTTGGAACAGGAGAAACAGGGGAGATTTGAGAACCAGTATTGGACATGGCAAGACCAGAAGAGGTTGTGGCAGGAGCAACGCCAGAATGTTTGCGAGTGGGAGTAGTGAGTGAAGGACGGCGCCAACCTTTCTTCTTCTTTGAAGCTGAGCTGTTGGCTGAGCGAACGGATCTTGCGTCGGCGTCGGTGAGGGTAGGTAAAAGCTCCTGTTGATGATGAGAGCTTCTTTGGGCATGGCTTATTGCGGTGGGCGAGTCCACGAGGCCATTTTCAATTATGACGGCATTGTGTTCGTGGCGACTAGTTCGCCGGTGCGCATCGGAACGAGTATTACTCTGGGAGTGATCGAAATCGAGTGGAGCTGGGGGCTGTGTCCTATTGCGTAGTGACTTCTTTGAGGGAGTTCTATCGACCACTTTGTGAGCATTTGAAGGATGAGTGCTGCTGCGCTTGTCTACAAAGGCTTTCAGGTTCCCGGTGGACGATGCAGGTGTCAGCTGATGGGGAAGTTTGGGTGAGCTGTCAGCGCTAGTCTTCCATTCTTCAGGACGAGAACGAGAGGGGGTTGGAGTTGGAAGCATGTCATCTGTAGACAAAGAAGAGTCACTTGTCATGGGACGAGCAGCGAAGGATAAAGCATGTCTATCTGGAACCATCCTGTCCTGGGAGCGCGCACGTCGATGTTGAGATGTATCAGGAGGGTGGTCTTGCGAATGAGGATCAGGAAAAGTTGAAAGGGCTGAACGAGGGGAAGGTGGAATTATACCAATTTTGACACTGCCTTTTGTACTAGAATTGTCACTGGTTGGGTCGGGAAGAGATGAAGGAGGGTGCGAAATATTTTGAGAATGTGGACGCGCTTGAATGCCTTGACGCGATGTAGTTGTATTCTCTCTTCCGCCCGGAGATGAAGACGTACTAGGCTTGACGAGCTTTGAAAAGAAGTTGGGCGCCATCGTCTAATAGCAACGTCGTCGTAACACGTTGCAATTGATGGTTGAGCTCAACGACGCAGACGATTCCGACTGCGCAGTCACTAGTCACTTACCGGCGTCGACGCTGTCAACGACGTCCAACACAGCAATTAGTAATAATCTTGACATTGCACCATTTAGCCTAAAAAGGTAATCAACAAAGCTGACCCTTTGCTCAGTGAATCAACTCCACATTCATATGAGTAGTGATCTAGTGCATGATCACTTTCCTCCAGCAATCACTTGGGTTCAAATTCCTTTGCTAGCCTCGAACACAACAATGTCATCGGTATCTTTGGATCCATCACCGGTTATCGAGAGGTTCACCGTCCGCATATCTACTACTGATGTGGAATTAACTCGCTCAGTTCGTCTTCGCAACTTGAGATGGACGGTTCCAGTTGCGAAATTGTGACAGGCTGTGGACAATGGGCGCCCATTGTCATCTTGTACTTATCAGATACCCCATTTTATGATGGCGGGTCTCAGGTTGATCTTGCTGTGCCAGGCAGATTTGCCTTTGTGATTACTGAGAGCTTTGTTTCGTGATACCTGAGATTCGTTATCTTATCACTTTACTAGTTTACTTGATCTAGGCCTCTCCAGGCCCTGTAGGCAAACCGTCAGCGTGTCAGCCACAAAGGGGCCTCGACGTCACCGGTTCTCCCAGGACCCACTCGTCATATATACATCCTCCGACATCCTCTTTGTACTTTTCTTCGTTTGTTTTCACGTCAAGTTCTGTCAGACCCTTGTCTCACTCATCTCTGTATTTCATATAAAATACATACGTTTTCATTACACTTGGACCAAGGTCGCAATATGCCTTTCAACCCCATAGACGATGCTCAGGACTTCACCAGAATCGTGAGTGCCTATTCGATGAATTCTTAAACCATTTCTCACTCTCCCAGATCAACAGCGGTAAAACCGTATTGATAGATTTCCACGCAGACTGGAGTGGGTTGTGCCGGTCGACTTCTCAGCAGTTCTCCGAGCTCTCTGACACATTCGTTCGCATCGGCGTGGATTTCTATCGCGTGAACGTGGATGAACTCGAGGATGTGGTAATGGAGGCCGATGTACGCGTTGTATGTATTTTTTAACATGACGTCTTTGTGGAGCCAATTGAAACCGATTATTATAGGTCCCTACTTATATGGTGTTCAAGGACGGGAAGAAGGTTGGCCATGCCACGGGCGTGGATGGGTTGAGTCTCCATGTGAGTACCTCGTGTTTGATGTAGTGCACCTCACCGATTGTTCCGCATAGAAATTGATGGGTTCGTACATGACGGGATGCGAAGTTGTTGCTTAAAGGTGACTTACTAGACAAGAGACAATCAATTGCGTTGTAATAATATTTATGAAGGGGCTATGGAAGGGATCGTCTGGGGGGAAATCAAATGTATAACAACAATTACACACTTGGCTTACCATACACTTTGCGCGAGGCCATATCACACTTATGAAAGTCAGCTCGCACAAACGTGAATTTGCCTATCTTCGGATATCTGCACCACAAAGATAAGTAAGAGAAATCCCGCTATAAGTGCGAATGGAAGCTTGCCGTCATGGGAAGGAACGTGTCTCGATGTAAACCTAGTATGGCACCTAAAATCGCGAGTCCGAGTATCAAAAAATGACTACTTCGCATGTTCTCTTCTGCCGCGGCTGCACATCGAGTTTCGTAAGTTTATACAAAGTGAATCAAGAGCGTTATTGGGATGTGACTGGATATGAATGCGGGGACGAGTGGCCGGGGAGGATCTGCCCTGCTTCGTTGGGCACTATCATGGTGACTGTGAGAGTACGCAGGAACTGATTCTATTTTTTGATTCGTAGGATTTGAAACGTTGTACTTGCATGAAACAGAGATCATGCGTATGCAAGGCGATAAGTCTAAGCGCCTTCGGTTAACACAGTAACCTGTGTGGCCGCTCTGTCGCCCTGTGCTGTAGGCCTGTTGCTCGTCGTCCGCGTCACGTCAGGTCGGTTCCAATTTTACTTTGCATTCTAAATGGGGGCACAAGGAAACAAAGACAAACAACCCTGTTAACTTGTCATACCCGGCATCGCGAACATCGACCTCTCATTTCTCGCTCTCTCTTTCATTCACCATTCGGACTGCTGCCCTTCTGCTGCTGACCCTCTTCATGCCATTGCTTGCAGGAATATTTGCTAAACGAGATAGGCAATCTGGTGCTCGCAGTGCAACATCCAATTTAAACGTCCCAACGACGCCGACTTCTACGGCGTCCATCTCTAGTGGCACCGTAGTCTCTTCAGAGCCAGATTATGTCTTTCCAGACAAGTCTCTAAAGTCTCTTCCGCCCGCAGTTTATACCGGTCCAGCAACGGCATCATCGAGCAAGCTGAAGCTGCCATTCCGTCGGAGACATGTACATCAGCCACATGTCTCAGGCACCTCCACAAGCGTATTCTCTCTCAACGATAGCCCGCCACGCGCACACATGTCCAGCGTTGTCTCTGATTCAGGGCACGACCTCCCGCCCTCCCCACCAAAACCGTCCTTCTTTGGAGTATACCACGACCCCAGCATTAATTCCACACTTTCGCTTCCCAATGAAAACATGCGCCATCAATCTGGCCTGGATACCCCTTCCGTCATCGCACGGAATGAGATACACAGTGCACCCCCATCTTCTTCTTCGACGCCACCTAACCCCAAAAAATCTGGCGGGTTGTTCTCGTGGGCTAGAGAGCGTACTAAATCGAAACCTGCCCCGCCACCAGCAGCTATTGCAGCTCCTCCCGCTCCAAGTCCCTCACCGAGGGAGAATTTTAATTTGAAAGCTTTTCGCCACGTTCGTTCCGAGTCCCCCACTTCTCTAGCTGATGTTCCAAATGCCGAGCTTCCGCTTCCTCCTGCCCGGCCACGGCCGCGCGGAGACAGTATTGCTTCAGATTCCTCTCAAAGGATATCTGTTGCAGCATTTCGTGAAGCACAAGCTCGTCGGAGCCGTGCAAATTCCCCTGTACCTTCATTCCGACCCCCTTCTTCCCTCGATACCCTTCGTGTTGAAAATATGTCCAGACAGCGAGCTTCTACGGTTTCAACGCCTACCGGAAGTGAACATCACCTATCATTTAATCGCAATTCGACTGCGCCCCCGCTGTCCATCTTGATTAACCGAACTTCGTCAGCTTTGGACACTAGTACTTCAGAGTCGGATGAATCTGACGAATCTGATGAAGAAGTGGATAGCGATGGCGTGCCTATCAAGCCTAGTCGCAAACGCACTGTGACTCGTCGCCCTGGTCCGCGCTCGCAGTCCGATGCGGGGCATGCCCCCACTGCATCGAACGCTCAGGTTCGACGGCCAGATCCTCCAAGATGGTCAAAACCGGACAATGTACAGCTAAGGCAACCCGACAACATGGCTGCCGTGCGAGCGAGAGCATCTGCCTCCACTAGTGCTCTTACACCCAACGCTGCTGCTCGTCGTGCGTCGACTTTAGCTGCTGCAAACGCTTCTGTTGCATCATCAGGCAAGTATACAAGTTACCAATGTCATTCTGGTTCCTAACCGTGCCTTTAAGCTTCAGAGAAATCTTCGTCGCCGCCTTTATCACCAAGACCGGCGAAGGACGACAACTCCGATACTTCGTCAGATTCAGATAATGATTCTGAAGACATGCCTTTGTCCGCGCTCGTTGCACCACGCAGACCGGGAAGTTCTGCATCCATATCCACCAACAGATCCGCTGTCTCGCGGCCTCGGATGCCCGCGAAGCCCTTGATTGATATCAAATCACTCGTAGGAAGTCCTCCGATGCTCACGCCTGTCCTGAGGCACGAGCATTCAGTGAAAAAACCGTCTACAAAGGGTAAGGAACGTGAGGTGGATAGGGACGAGCCCTTTGCTCCTCCCCCTGTTATCAGCTTGACGCCGAGTCGCATGGCTGAGAGTCCTGCTCAGGAAACTCCCTGTTCACCTGCTGGACCAACTCCTAAGATTCCTTCTCCCACTCGCCACAAGAAGTTGAGCAGTGATGTTGGGTCCATCCCTCGGCCATCCTCTTCACCAATCGAGGTTGATGATGATTTGAGGGACGCCATCAGACTCGTTACTTCCTTTGATCGATCACGAGATTCCTCACAGTCGCCTACACAACCTTCCCAACAAGTGCCGCCCCTGAACGCCGCTCCACCACCTACTGTCGAACGTTTGTCAAGTGCTGATGACAAGCCAGAATCTCCTCGTGACGACCGCATTGTGCCTACTCCTGTTCGAGAGTATAAACCACCAGCTTCTTTCAGTGTTACCTCACGCCCTCCGCGTCGATACACCACTGATCTCTCTCAGGCAGTATCACCAGCCTCGCCGACAGCGACGTTATCCGCCGTCTCCAAAAGATCTCCTTCTCCACAACGATCTCCTTCTCCTATCAAGTCTTCATTCGCTCCTCGTTCTCGTGCAGGCATCCTAGCTCAGCAGTCCAATGTACCATCAACCGACAAGTCAGATGCTTCTTCTGTTGTCTCAACTTCTCGATCCTCACGCTCTTCTCGTGTCCCACCTGTCCCTCTCATCACCGCTGTACCCGATTCACCTTCCGTGAAAGCCAGTTGGGGGTCTTCGAAGGATTTGTACAAGACACGCCCTCCCTCGACGCCAAGTGCGTTGGATAGCAGAATGTCTCGGCCACCGTCAGGCACGCTTGTCTCCCTTGTGCCTTCCTCAAGGCCTGGTATGCCCGCAGCACCACAGTCATCCAGGTTGCAATCACAGTCACTCATGCCCTCCCGCCCCTTCGCCAGTAATAGTTCTCTACGAGGCCAGAGCCCTGCTGGCAGCTCAACAGGTGACTCCAGCAGTGGTCGTGGTGCGCCGTTCACACCACATGATGGTAGTGATATCGGGGTGAATACCGGGCGGAGGGATGGAAGCGATGCAGACTCGACGCTCAAGGCGCGCGGGGCGAATGCGAAGCGGTCATCTGTGAGCTTTGAGGATGATCCACCACGTGGCCGTGAGAGGGTGAAGAATGACGCTGATGAGGAGAAGCGGAATGAGAGGAGACGGAACGAAGCGAAGTCTGCTATTGAGGTTTGTGTTATCTTGTGATTGTTGTTTGTCGCCCTGATTTTTTGGTTTCAGTTCGGGAAAATTGTCAATGGTCGTGGACCCATGGTGCATGATGGTTCTGACGATGATCTTGTGCCTCAGCATGGACAGCGGATGAGCATCAATCCTATGATGGGCATGGATGGCATGATGCCTGGGATGAATGCTCCTGCGTGGGGGGCGTGGCAACAGCCCATGTCGGCGGGTATGGGACCTATGATGGCTTCTCAGTTCAGCCCCGACCAGAGCTTCTTCGTTGCTCACCAGCGCGCGATGATGATCGCGAAGCAAGCATACCAAATGGCAGTAGCTCAACATGCGATGGCATTAGCCGGAGACGAGTGGGAACGAGGGTCCAATATCGGCGGTGGGTCTGTGTATGGGGGTGGCGGAGGTAGCGTGTACAGCGGAATGGGAGGAGGCGGGGGCGGGATGGGTATGCTGGGCGTCCCTGGTATGATGCCAAACCAGTGGTCCACGGGCTCCGTCATGTTCCCTGGTCGGATCAGCAGTACGCAGAGTGAGTTCGGAGGAGGGTCGAGGAGTGTGTACGGGGAGTCGTTTGGCCCATCAATGTCCTCCCGTTCGAGCCACGCACCGTCTGGGTACGGCGTCCCGAGCAGTCCCGCGAGTTCCTATGGAGGAGGTTCCAGACCGCGCGCCAAAACTGGTGCTTCCCAGCCTTCGAACTTGCAGCCACCGATGCCTGGTAGAAATCCCGGACGAAAAGCTGCTCCCCCATCGAGCTGGAAGAGTGCCCGATAACACGTACGACGATTTCATGACGTTCATCCATTTTTTTGGTTTTCACTTGCATATTTATTAAGACGTTCCGCTTAGTCGCTCTTTGGTACTACGACTTTTCTTTTAATTCCACGACAGCGCTCGAACGTTTTTTTCTTTCTGTTCGTTTTCTGGTTGAAGGCGCTGACGCATATGCTTGCATACAGAGATGTGCGTGGATTTTGCATTAGTCGATTCGATTCGTTTGGATTTCGACTTTCTTTCCCTCTTTCTTTTTTCAATTTTCTTTATTATCGTCATCATTTGCATTGACATTGAACTAGCATATACCACGATTATGATTCCTGTTGGGACAATGGGCTTACGCATCATCAATCTCACCTGCTTGCATCGTCATTGTTCGATATTTGAGGATGGATTCAAATCATATCTAACGCCTTTGCACGGAGCAAAGGCTTCGGCATGTACTAGAGGCTTGGCAAGCGCTCATGTCTGTAAGCCCGTTGGCTTACCTGAGTTCCCATATTCAGCATAAATACTGTCCGCAATAATCAAGCATGGGCTTTGATTATCACTGCCTTTTGGCATAACTGCTAAGGGACAACAGTCTTAAC